GTCAGTGTGCCTTCTGGAATTTCCCTCACACTAGCAGGAGGGTCAGGGTTAGCAAACTAGAATCCATGCTGTTCTGGTCCCTCTGAGTTTGGCCTCCCCTTCATCCTGCTGCCTCATACACCCACCCTACACTCCAGCAGCCTGAAGCTTATTTTCTGCAGAGATTAGAGCAAGCTGTGCACTTGGGCGGAAAACACTACCATTTCAGCCTCTGCCTGGCCCTCTCAACTCACAGTTCAGCACAATAATTTGGGGTTAAACAGAGAGGTCCCATTTCTTATGCATTTCCTTGAACTCTGCCCCTAAGTACACGGAGAAGCAGATTTGGGGATTCTGGGCTCTGATTCTAATGTGCTGGGAGATTATTTGATCAAACAGACTAGGTTTGTGTAACCTGTTATTGGTAAGATATCTTAGTGGCCTTTGACGTGCTTTATGGGCCCATCATGACCCAGGAGCCACACTCCATCTGAATTTCCATGTCAAGTTTGCCGAAGGGTCATAGTAGCAAGCCAATCTACTCACAGACGCATTTAGTTTGCTCAACACGGTTGAGGCTGCTGTCATTGCTTTAATTGCATTTGAATTCCCAGAGCAGAGCAGGTAGCATTCATATTTCCAGACTCCCTGATTCTGTCCATGGTTCATCTCACACATACATGTTCTGTGCCTGGCTAGTGCCTGCAGACTTTTGGGCACAACCTTTGACAGACAGGTGTCTCCTGGTAGGAAAGTACAGTAAAGGGCTTGGGATCAGGGGAGAGCCACCTTCTATTTGGGGACAGTACTGATATAAGCTGTAGGCTGCTCTCAACAGGACCTTGGGCAAGGAGCCTATGGCCATGGTGTTCAAATGTTTGAGTACAGGTGGTGATATAAAACACACATGCTTATCTTATACAGACCACTCATGCTAGGACCTGCCAGAGACCATGGACTCTAGGGAGGGCTGCTAGCTGGCCATACAGAGGAGCGGGGTGGGGAGAGAGACAAATTGAATCCACACTGTATAGCGAGCCATTGTGTTAGCAAAGCAAAGTCTAAATAAACACTCACTTCATTTGCTCTTAGTTGACTCAAAACACATAAATTTGGGCAGGTAGGATTGTAAACTAGTCCAGAGTCACTACAGAAGTCAAAAGCTCCTCAAAAATACTACCAGTGGATCTTCCACGTGCCACCACTAAGCCACTCCTGGGTGGTCCCCCCAAACAATCCGAGTCAACGTATTCCAGAGGTGCTTCACATCAGCGTTGATGCAGCACAAGTCACAGAGAAGAAATTATGGGAATAACCTAGGTGCCCAGAAGTAGGAGACCGGTAAGGGAATGTGGTTTACATACACAGTGACTCTTTTTCCAGCCACAAAAAGAGAACAAAGTCGTGTCATTTGCAGGAAAATGAGTGCAAGTGTAGATGACGATATTAAGTGAACCAAGCCGGCCTGAGAGAAGACAAATGTCATTTTGTTTTCATTTAAACATTGATGGTTTTCTCTCATTTGTGGCTCCTAGATTTTATACATTCACAAAAAAATCATGTGTGGATATATTAAGTGAGAGATGTAAAACTAGGGCAGGAAGGGGATCAATGGGAGAGGGAGGTGGGAAGGAGGAGGTATGGGAAGGAGTGTGTCCAACATAAAATATACACATATAAAAGCTTAAAAATAAATTTTAGAAAGCCATCAATGTTGAAGGCCATACAGTTAGACAATACATCGTTTGCCTTTCACTCGCCTGGTGCAGAGAGCTGGCCTGGCTATGATAGCAGTTGTGTAGGTTACTCTGCAGGGATGCTCAGGCCACTCTGGCTGAAAATGTTGATCTCTCGCTGAGGCCTGCAGAGGTCCCATAGATGACAGGAACACAAGGAAACAGCTTTGACATCTGCCTTTGCATTTGTCTGTCTCCTCTGGGTCTTAACCATCGGGCTGCAGATGCCTAGAAACCTCCATGAATGAAGGCACAAAGCCACGTCAGAAGCACAAAGAGGTAGCACCAAGGAAGTACGGAGACAAGCTGGTGGCTAGGTAGCTTAGTTGCTCAGCGGTGGAGTGTTTCCTTAGCATGCATGGAGAGCTCAGTTTGATTCCCAGTATGGGGGTGCATGGTTGGCTTTGAATGTCAACTTGCCACTCCTTAGACTCAGCTGAGTGGGAGCATCAATTTAAAAACCATCTGGACCAGGCGACCTGTTAGAATATGTGGGGGAGTCTCTTGATTGCTTTAATTAATGTGAGCATGTCCACATAAGGGCAGCCCCTTCTAGTAGCAGCCAAGACCAACAAGGATATGGGAGAAGGAAGGTTATCAGCTTTTTGCTGCTTGGCCTTTCTGAAGCTAGTCCACCCCATGCTTTGGCGGTGGCTGCAGCTACTGCTGGTGATGATGTTGATAGTGGTGGGGGTGCGACTGCTGAAGGTCCCTTCACTGATATTAGAGCAGCTGATGATGGTGATGATGATGATGTTGATAGTGGTGGGGGTGCGACTGCTGACGGTCCCTTCACTGATATTAGAGCAGCTGATGCTGGTGATGATGTTGATAGTGGTGGGGGTGCGACTGCTGACGGTCCCTTCACTGATATTAGAGCAGCTGATGATGGTGATGATGATGATGTTGATAGTGGTGGGGGTGCGACTGCTGACGGTCCCTTCACTGATATTAGAGCAGCTGATGCTGGTGATGATGTTGATAGTGGTGGGGGTGCGACTGCTGACGGTCCCTTCACTGATATTAGAGCAGCTGATGATGGTGATGATGATGATGTTGATAGTGGTGGGGGTGCGACTGCTGACGGTCCCTTCACTGATATTAGAGCAGCTGATGATGGTGATGATGATCCCGTCACTGACACTAGAGACAGCTTTTTCAGACTTCCAACTGATGACCAGCAGCTCTCTAGGAACCTTCCAGGCCTCCAGTGCCATATTGGGTCTGCTGAGGCACCCAGCCCCGTAGATTGAACAACTACCAGGTTTTGGACCTTTCATGTTTGAGATATCTGTTGGAATATTTTGACTCTGTTGTATAAGCTGATTTAGTAAATCTTCAAATTTATTTATTATTTTTAAATATAAATTCATTCTATCAGTCCTGCCCCTCTAGAGGACCCTGAACAATGCTGGGGAAGGGCCAGACATGACTATTCATTGTTCCCCTGCGTCTGTAACTCCTTCCCCCTAGAGCCGAGACTGCTTTGCGAGCACAGACTCCTGCTCTTCCATTCTTTGGCCAACTGAATAAAGCTTACTCTTACGTCACCCAGTCTCTTGTGCTATTAACCTTATCAAGTGGCAGCAGAAATGAACCTTTTATTGGGTTACATGAATGGCCTGTCCATCAAATGTGTGAGCCACTGGAATCTGTATGGAGGGCCTCCTCCTAGCTATAAAACCTCACCAGAGACTTTAGGGTCCAGATGAAAATTTTCCTTCTTGTTTCCATCTACCTCAGTCCTTACCAGAAAGAAGTTTCCTTCCTCCCCATGCTGCCAGTCTCCTCTGGCTAGCCTAGCCCTGCTGAATAAACACACTTGCTGTAGCCTGACAGCTGGCAGGCAGGCTCTAGGGGTTGGGATTGAATGCAACTTATTTTTATATGTCTAATGACTTCCAGAGATATTTACAACATTGGCTACAGAATTCAGGCTGGGGACTCAGCTCACTAGAAGAGTGCTTGCTGCTGTCATGTATGAAGCCCTGGGTTCAATCCCAGCATTGCATACAGGAGGCGTGGTGCCACATGCCTGAAATCCCAGCACTTGGAAATTGGAGGCAGAAAGTCATCCTAGGCAGCAGAGTGGGTTTGAGGCCACCTGAGGCTTCCTGAACTACTTGAGTTTCTACAAAATAAACAATGAGACATACCGAAGAGATGGCTCAGAACTTAAGAGCACATGCTGCTCTTGCAGAGGGCCTGAGTTAAGTTCCCAGCATCTACACCAGATGGCTCACAACCACCTGGACTCCAGCTCCAGGGGGTCTGATGCCCTCTTCTGGCCTCTTCAGGCACCTGCACTCACACTCACATACACACAGGCACCTGCGCATACACATAAAAACACGTTAAACATAAAAACAAATCTTTTAAAAGTAGCAAAAACCAACCAAACAAACACACCATAAGAACCACAGAAAACTCAGAATATTCCACCCCATCTCAGACTTGCCCCACTAGTTTGTGGTCACCTCAGACCCTTGCTTTCATTTCCTTCACTGGGACCTTGCCCCACTGGCCCTCTCGCATATAGGCATGTGGAGCAGCCCCACAGAGATGTCCATTAGAGTGCAGGTGTTGTTTACTTTATTGTGGTGCTAGCAATCAAACCCAGGGCTCGTGCACACCTGTGTTACACCTGTGTTGTAGGACGCTGTCTTCCAAACATGGCCAGGCCTTTGCCCACTTAAACTCTCAGCAGCTGCGATGCCTCACTCAGTAACAGTCCACCATGAAGCAGGGAGAGCCGTGTGACCCCTCCCCTTCCTCCAGAATGTACACGTAATCGCTGTGTTGCTGCTGGGTGACTGTGAGGAGAAGTGCATTGCCCACCAAGCCCTCTCTTGAGGATATATAAGACAAATAATTGTTGCTGGCAGGGGCACTTTCTTCACTGATGAAGCTACTGTTGAGTTGCCCATGGCCCTATCAGTAATCCTCAACCCATGTTCTCTAAGTTCATTGGTTCACCAAGTTAGCCTGGGGTGGAATCGTTTTGTTGGTGTTTATCCATGTGAATAAAATGTTTATTGTCCCTAAGGGAAAGTACACACAGAACCAGGTGAGTGCTAGCGTTCTCGCCGAAGAACTCAGTTTTGAGTTGTGTATGATTTAAGTTCACTTAATCTTTAAAAGCCTCATCTGTATAGTGGCTACCAGAGGAGGGAGCTCGGTTCTAGAACTTTCTTCCTCTAGGGACAGCCTCCCTGGGTGAGCAAATCAAATCCCAAGCGTGTTTGATTTCTGAACAATGGCATGGAAGTGAAGACAATGGCGTTCTTGTTTCTAAAGTAAAAATGGTTTATTCACGACATATTACATAAGAGGCGAAGTGTCTCATGTCACAGACGGTACAGCCAACTCCCTGGAATGTTCATTTCTTTGGCATAAAGGAAAGAATGAAGGGAAAGCCAGGCTATGCTAGGGCAGCTAAGATGGGGGATGGGTCTGCGGCTCTTTGTCATCTTCACAGGGAGGAGCTCCGGGTCCATAGTGGCAAGCTGATTCTCTAGAATGTTAGGAGGGTGCACCGACAGGGCCACTTCTGGGTGATCCACTATGCCGAGCCCTTCAGTCATCTCCACCACACAGGTACAGTAGTGCCTTCTGGTAGTCACCCTTGGTGTCTTGCTACAAGTGGCCAGAAAGAAAAAAGAATTATAGTGTCAGAAAAAAAGAACAGATTCCACGGCAGCCTGTCACAGCTTTGACCTGTTATGACAATGTTACAGGCCTGCACAGTATACCATGGCCCTGGTCCTCTGGAGGACAATGGGAAATGGTACTTTGAGTCCTACCATGATTGCAAGGGTGGAGAACGTACCCCTCACTGCACTTCCTGCAGGGAGTCCTCAGCATCCCCCTTTCCTCCTGCACCTTTACCTTCCTGCAGAGGATGGGGTGACCCTCAGTTGCCTCCCTTTGAAGTCTTGGGAATTCTTAAGGTCACATGACAATAGTGAAGCAAGGAAATCATTTCTAAGAGTCTAACTGTCCCCGGCTTTAAGCATGTGTCCCAAGAAGCCTGGACACACTGACTCGCTCTATAGTTGTCTTTGGTGACCATAGATAAAGACAGATATGGAAATGTCAGGAAGGAGAATTGCAGCCTGGCCTGGTAGTGCATACCCATATGGTTAGCTAACTAGGAGGGTGAAGCAGGAGGATCACAAGTTCAAGACCAATTCAGACATCTTAGTAAGAACTCTTCTCAGAGTGAAAAGGGAGGGAAATGGTTTACTCTGTAACGTGCTTTCCTCACAGACTTGGGGCCTGAGTTCAGTCTTAAAAAGTCAGAGCTGGTGATGCACACTGGAATGCCAGAGTTGGGGAGCAGAGAGAGGAGGACCTGTGGGGCTCACTACCCAGCCAGCCTCACTCAGCCAGTGAGCCCCAAGTCTCAGTGAGATGAGAAATGCTGTCCCAACAGACAAGGTGGACGGTGCCGAAGGACTGACACCAGAGGCTGACCACTGGCTTCACACGCCTGTGCACGCTCACACCCACACAGACACACATGCCAAAACTTTGAAAAACTTAAAAAGCTGGGTATGCTAGCTCAGTAGTGAGTGATTGCTTAGTATATTGCTTAGTAGGAGCTAAGCACAGTGGAAACTCTGGGAATTTTCCATCCTTCCAAAATGCACAGCCATGAGGCTGACTGTGTGACAGACTGTCAGGTCTTCCTGAGGACCTTCAAGAAGCAGCAGTATCACAGAAGACAAAATGTCTTTGGCCTTCATTGTCACCAAGTCTTGTAGGATTGGTACCATGAACACCAATGACCACTTTACAGTGACGCATACGGGAAATGTATAATCCTGCTCTGAACCTACAGAGTCCACGACAAATCATAAGGATTGCCTTCAATATAAATCCTGGTGCATTGTGCCCAGCATCTATTCTCTATAAAATGAGAAAACAGAGCATCACCACTCTGTCACTGTTCTCTCCAGACACCTCCACCTGCCCAGACACACCCACACACCCACAGCCACACCCACAGCCACACCCACACACACACCATGCCTGGCGGAGCCAGCTCAATGCCACAGGCCTTACCTGGATGTAGTAGTACAGGGACTTGCCATATTTCCTCTTGAATTCAGATCTGATCTTCAACATGTCCACTTCACTGCGGGAGACCATGATTCTAATCAGGACCTTGTCGCGAGTGCCCTTGCCCTGAAAGTCAAATCAATCATCCAAGTTAAGCTCCTTTACAATGCTATCATTATAAAAAGCATATACCACGTTCTTCTGGTTCTTATGTGGTTGTTATATTTTTTTCAAATTGATTTCTATTTTTAAAATTTGAGAGAGAGAGAAAGAGAGAGAGATAGACAGACAGACAGAGAGACAGAGAGAGAGAATGTGTGTGTGTGTGTGTGTGTGTGTGTGTGTGTGTGTGTGTGTGTGTGTGTGTGTGTGTGTGGCGGGGAGTTCCTCTGGAGACCAGGAAAGTATCAGATCCCCTGGATCTGGAGTTCCAGATGGTTGTGAACTGTCCAATGTGGTGCTGGGAGCCAAACCCCGCTCTTGTACAAGAGCAGCGGCTGCTCTTAATGTCTGCACTGTCTCTCCAGCCTCATCTATGTGGTTCTTGGTGCTGTAACCTTTCAAGACTGAAAACACAGTAGTGACACTATTCCCTTGACAAAGATCAGCATCTTGGATTTCCAAGCACATTTGAATTTTTAAAGATTTATTTTAAAGCTTCTAAGTTTGTGTGTGAAGGGGAGCACGTGTGTGTATGTATAGGTGCACACAGAGGCCAGACAAGGGCATCAGGTCCCCTGTAGTTGGAGTTTCAGGAGCCTAGGAATGATTCAAAATAGATGCTGGGAACTAAATTCAGACCCTCTGAGGGAGCAATATGAGGGAGCAATATGTGCTCTTAACTGCTGAGCCATCTCTCCAGTCAGCGCAGAAGTCATCTCTGTGCTTAGGAGGGCCAGCCTGCAAGTTTGCACATGCAACAAAGGGCTACTGTCACTGCAGGATGCAGAGAGGAAGGGCCAGCATGCTGTTCCCATGGCTCTATGTGGATGCGTGGAATAGCCTGCACTGAGGAAACTGTTAGCTGTAGCAAAACAAAGCAAAAACAATAACAAAAAAAAGGAAAGAAAAGACAAGAAGGAGGGCGGCATGGACAAGGGAGGTACTCCAGAGAGAGAAAGCAAAGGCCTGGAAAGCAGAGCACTGTGGGATTACGGAATGGGCTGGTCTTGTCTGGTCAGTTCGTGCAGGAAGAGCACACAGCTATAGATCCGCTATATGACTGCATGCCAGCTGAGGCGCCTGTGACTCCAGCTTCCTTTCTCATCAAGAAGATAAAAATGGAAGCCCCGCAGGGTTTCCTGCCACGACTTAAGGGAGGGAACTGAAAAGCTGTTGCATAGTACCTGCGGATGGTCTCTCGCATCCTGTTTGGTCTTATCCTGGAGATAACAGGAGGCCATCACTGAAACCCCCAGCAGGACTCAGACACCACTGTCACCTAGCCCTTTCCCACCGGTGACACTTCCTTCTGGAGCTGCGTCACACATACTTAAACAGTTGGGCGAAGGTGGATTGGTGATTCTCACCTGCCATATACAATCTCAGCTGGCTAGCATGCTCCTGTCACATACTGGGGACCTGTCCTCTAAACCAGCAGGTCTCAACCTGTGGGCTGAGATCCCTTTGGGGTTCACATATCAGATATCCTGCATATTAGATGTTTACATTAAGATTCATAACAGTAGCATATTACAGTTATGAAGTAGCAACGAAAATAACTATGGTTGGGGGTCATCACAACATGAGGAAGTGTATTAAAGGGTCGCATTAGGAAGGTGAGGACCACTGCTCTAGACACTAGTCAAGAAGATTCCATTTGAACCCAAACAGAAGAGGAGCCTACTGGAGATCGGGCCTCTGGGCCAGCCGCCCTTACCTTCATGGAGTCGTACAGCCGGTCAGCAAAGTACAGAGGTTTGTTTTGAATGCACTGGACTGTGGAGAGAAGAGACAGCGTCGGGTGAGTGAGGCTGCTTGCCTCTCTTGCAATGAGGGAGACGATGCCCCGGCTCCATGACACTGACCAGAATGGGCCTGTCACATGGATGCAGAATGTAGAAGGCTAAGGAATACTCAGAATCCTGCACACACCGAGTCCCGCCCACTGTGGCATTTGCAATCATGAGATGTAGAGGACAGTGACAACCCAGTGTATAGATGAGCTTCCCCACCATAGTCTTCTCTTGTCCCCATGACTTAGTCCTCTGTGGCAACTCTCTGCTCTGTCTGGTTTCACATCCTCACATCTACTGTCAATCCTGAAACTCTCCAAGACATGCTGGAAAGCCACCACACTGCCCAAGTCCCCTAGAAGTAAAAAGATGGCCATCCATTCCTCCTGTTTCTGTCCTCTTTTCCAGGGAGGAGAGGCCACACTTGCTTACCCAGGTTCAGGAAGGCATTTTCCAGGTCTCCTTTGACCTCCTTCTTGATGCTCTCCAGCATGTCATAAGGGCTGTAGTTCTTGTACCTTTCGAACACTAAAACAACCAAAACAATAAAACAAAAAGTAACATCAGAAGTGCTAGGCAAAGCTACACTGATGACCTACTTATGACCTACTTAATTATACACCATGATAAACAACAACAAACAGAAAATACAACACACATGCACACACACAACAATAACAACAGCATCCCCCTCTCCCTCCCTGAAGGTGATCATAGATGTCATGCCAGGGGTTGGAGGTGACTCTGGTAGACCAGAGCTGAATTGCACCTGCCCTGCTAGAGGACCCAGGTCTAGCTCTCATTCCTAATGGCTATGCCTAGGCCACAGAAGGTGTTCATTTCCATTCTCTCTGACTAGAACACATCTGTCTGGATGTCATAAGAAACAGTATAACTGGTCATGTCTTCTACTTCAATAAACACAGCAAGATGAAATGGTACTCCAATAAAAAGGGAAATCAGCAAGAGATAGGGAGAAGGTTCCGTTGACAACATGCTTGTCTTGCAAGCATGAGGACCTATGTTCAACCTCCAAAACCCATGTTAAAAAAAAAGCCAGGCATAGTGGTGTGTGCTTGCCATCCCAGTGTTGAGAAGGCTGTGGTGGGTAGACGGGTAATCTCTGACCAGGCTGCCTAGTCTCAATGTTGGACTCCTGGTGAACTCAAAAACAAAACAAAACAGGGAGAATTGTTCCTAAGGTGTGATACCTGAGGTTTACCTCTGACTCCCACATGTACTCCACACAGGTGAACCCATATGAACACACACACACACACACACTCACACACACACACGGTAAAACAAGTTAACATCAAATTCAGAACAGATTTGGGGACAGAGGATCCAAAATGAGAAAGGAGGCCAAATGCTTTGATAAAAGAAATAGGGAGAGCCAAGTGGATATGAGCCTTGTTCCAGGAGATCTAAGCCTCAGCATAGCCTGCACCTATGCCATCCAAGAAACCCGAGGCACTGAGGCCTCCCTGGCACAGCACCCACCTTTCTGGAGGTGGCACACACTGCGCTCAGTCATGATGCTGATCCACTTGGGAACGTCGGTTCCTTTCCTTTTCACCCCGGCATCATAGAGATCCTGTGGGAGATGCAGGCAACCGGGAAAGTTAACGACACAACCCCAAGCAAGTGTTCCTCAGAAGCCCATTCCAGGGACTGGAGAGATGACTCAGAGGTTAAGAGCAACCACATGGTGGCTCACAACCATCCATAATGAGATCTGGAGCCCTCTCCTGGCGTGCAGACATACATGGAGGCAGGATGTTGTATTCATAATAGAATAAATAAAATCTTTAAAAAAAATATTGCACTTAGGGCTGGAGAGATGGCTCAGAGGTTGAGAGCACTGACTGCTCTTCCAGAGGTTCTGAGTTCAATTCCCAGCAACCACATGGTGGCTCACAACCACCCATAATGAGATCTGGAGCCCTCTTCTGTCATGTAGGCATAAATGCAGGCAGAACACTATGTGCATTAAAAAAGCCCATTCCAAGTGACAAGTGAGCACACAAGCCCACACTGAAGGTGTGACCCCCCCCAATGTACCACTTGCTTTTGGCTTCTCAGGGCCACACTGAGCTATCTTCCTAGATCACAAAGCCACATCTAGAACTTACTAGAAACCTTTCTCGCATACTGGAAACACTCTGAAGACTACAGAGGACTTTAAGACGAAGTACATGGTTTTGTTTGCAGCTTTTATGATACACTTTGAGATAACCCAACTGGTGGTCCTCTAAGTGAGTCACACCTAGTTCACAGCTATCTCAGCCAGCTTTATGAGGAAGGACAAGCCTCTGTCACCTTTACCTGTCCCCACCGAGCAGAGCAGGGAGCCCCCCTGTCCTGCTGGTGCCTCCTTCACCTGCTCCATTCCCTACTAGCTTACTGTCAGGACCTAACATTTCCGTGCACCCGAAGCCTGAATGAGCCAATGGGAGCTGGCTACAGACCTGGTAATTGACGTTGGCATTACAAGTATGGTTCCCAGAAAGTAGACACAAACCTCACATTCTCAGATGTGTTGAGGTTTCAAAAGGGCCAATACTCCCTTGGAAGGGATACTACTTAGTTCTACCCCTCCCACAGCTATGGGTTGGATTCACGGACTCACTTCTAATGATCAGAGTATGACGAGCATACCAGGGTGTGACACTTGGGACTCAGCCATAAAAGCATGAGGGTTTCTGGCTCCCTCTTAAATCACTCACTCCGGGAAAGTCAGCCACCATGTTGTTAGGACATTCAAGCAGCCCCGTGCAGGCCTGTGCCTCCAGAGAAATGCTAACATCTTTTGCCAACAGTAAGTCACCCACGAACCACATAGGGAAGATCCCTTTGACTTCAGTCACACTCTCAGGACCTGTAGCCCTGACCAACATCTTGTCTATAACCTCATGAGAGAGCTTGAGCCACAAACATCTGGCCAATCTAGTCCCCAGGCCTGACCCAGAGAACCTGAGAGATAACAAATGTTAGTCTGGGGTTATTCGTTGTATATAAATAAATGGTTATGTGGGATACAACCCCCTCCAAATGCACAACTCATGTAAAATTCAGCCAAGAAGCTTGGCACGTACCCGGGCATCCTGGTCAATCAGTTCGTAGTCAATGACGGAGCCATCCTCTGCTCTTCTGCCCTAGAGGAAAAGAACAGGGAAGACGGTCAGACGTATAGCTCTTTGTGCTTTGAAGGCTGGAGGTGTTTCCTCTCCAACTCATTCCCAAACAAACACCACCGGCAGTTGTTCTCATGTTAATCTAGACAAGGTCAGGGAAGAGTCAGATCATCAGGGAAGGCGGTGGGTACACTAACCCTCACCATTGTCAGCCACCCCTAGGTGCCCAATCTTGAGCAGGCATCTCAGAATTTTCTGAGTCACACCCCAGAGAGGCTGAAGCCATGTTAGTTTCTCCCCCAGACTGTGTGTGCTGGTGAAATGCATGACCACCGAGAGGCCATGATGGTGGTGTGATGTACAAACAGAGGGAAACCCCTTGCAGAGAGCAGATGGCAGGCTTGCGAGTGAGTGACACACCGCCCAGAGGGAGCACAGGACAGAAGGACAGAATCACAGTGATGAAGACGAACGTTGACATGGCCAGGCAGCAGGGCTTCCTGGAAGGGTTCAGCAGCAATGAGTTTTGGTCAAGGGAGCAAATGATGCAAGTGGATTCTAAAAAGACCCAGGGACTGTGGTGCCTGGACAGGGGCGAATGAAGACAGGAGAGCCGCAGAATGGTCACTGTCATGGAGATGTGAGTGGGCTAGGCCTGAGAGTGGGTCATTTGCCTGAGAGAAGATCCCCTTCCTTTGACAGACAAGTGTTCAGAAGCACGCTGGCCAGAACTGGAGATGCACAAGAGACATGACTTGCATCCAACATTAGCAAAGAGGCCACAAAGGCCCATGCACAGGCAGACATGGGCACACACACAAAAGGTGAGGGGTGAAAGAAGTAAGGTCGCTTTGATGGGTTCGGTGTGGCCACACATAGAGGCAAAGTGGCCTTCCTTAAGTCACTCAGTGAAGGTTAACACAGAAATCCAGGCCAGAGCTTGGGAGCCGCCCATCCCTCCCCTGGTCCCCGAGTCCAGTTGTCCACACGGTTCTGCAGGATAAGAAATCCTATTAACAAAATGACAGCTCTGCAGGGACGAACGCAAGGGAATTTCTGAGCAGGCACAAGGATTTAGTTAATTCCCTCCCCAGTACAGAGGAAGCTGTGCCTGCTGCAAGGAAGCAAAGGGGGAGGGGGGAGAGACTGAGAGACCAACCTTTGCAAGGGCGACCATCAGCTTGCGGAAGTCGCCAGATGTGTCAGAAATGATATCCTTCTCCAGATCAGTCTTGTACACTGAGAAAACAACGCATCAGGCTTAATGCTTCCCGCTGGTACACCCAACTGCAAACCCTGACCATCTCTCACCCACCAAGTTTCAGAAAGCAGGCATTATTGTGCTAGTGTGGGAGCAACCTATCGCTGGGTCCCCATCTGAGGAAGAAGTCTCTAGAAGGACGTTCACTCCCATGAGATCAGAGTTAGGATGATTGTCAGTGCCAACGAACAAGTCTAAATCAAACCCAGGGGTCTTTGGGCTCCCTTTAATCAGCCAACTCTTTTCTAGTTAAAACACTGTTTCTCAAGCTGGCGAGATGGCTCAGCAGATAAAAGTGCTTGGGGCCACACTTGAAGTTCTATCCTCCAGCCCCCCTCACAGCAGCAGGATAGAAGCAGCTGCTTTCAGGGTTGTCCTCTGACCTCCACATGTGTGCATAACGTGGCGCATGCGTGCTTGTAATCCCAGTCCTGGGTCGGCAGAGAGAGGGCATCCCTGGGACTCACTGGCCGGCCAGCCTAGCCTAATTGGTGAGCTCCAGAGGATTAGTGACACACACACTCACACAGAGGCTGGGGGAGCAGCTGGGCTAAGAGAATGGACTCAGGACAGGCTACTCACTTTCCTTGTATACTCTGTTAATCTCCTGCAGCTCCTGGTTGGTTCTGGAGCAGATGATCTCGATGAGAGAGTCCTCATCAGTCCCCAGGCCCTGGGAAGCAAGAAGCCCAGACATCAGCAGCCTTCCTCACCCTCAGCCTCGAGCAAACTGATGGTTCTGTTAGCGCCATCTCCCCGCTGCGTCCCTCTTGCACCACTCCCGCAGCACTAAACAAGGCTGGCGTTATGTCACATCACCAGATCCCAAGGCAGTGTACATGGCACATCTACGTCCAACTATGTTTTTTTTAAAAAAAAAGAATGAACAGAGACAGCCTAAGCTACCCACAATGCTAGGGTTGGCCTTAGCTACCCACAGTGCTAGGGGCGGCCATGGGCTCCTGTTTGTCTTTGCTAGTCTCCATCATAGGCGCCCTCTATTTTAATAAACAGGAAATAGTTGTCTTCACTGGACAAGAGATGGTATGCGGTCACCATCAGGCAGCTGCCATAGGTTAGAACCTCAACTTAGCAGAGAAAGGCACTGTCAGGGTAACAATTCCTCTCTCTTCTTTGAAACGCAAAAATGGCTCAACGGTTAAAAAAAAAAAAGTATCATGTGACTTCCATGTTTGCTTGACTACTCTGTGCTTTTCCGGTATTTTAGTGAAGGAAGAGGGAATAACAAAAGCACCAAATAAACCTAGATGCCAGCACTTTATTAGGAAATGAGAGTTTAATGAGTGAGATACTCAGGTTTAATTTATACAATGTTGAGCTCGCTGGAGAGCTTGAAAGGACTCGATGAAACATGTATTTCAAAGCTGGCTTCCTGATCAAAGTTAAGGCTTAATAACCAGGGTCTTCTAGTACTTGTCTTCATGAATATAGAGGTACCACTTTGAACTAAGTAGAATTACAGCTGTTTAAAATGTAAATCAATTATAAGGTGTTAATACAATAAGAAAGGTACTTATCCACATGAAAAGTGTGTCAGCTATTAATTAAACTTATTAGAGTGTATATGCCCCTTTAAAATGTGCCTTGCATAATCTAAGCTAAGCCCCGGGTTAATAGTTAATTTTGAATTTTAATCTTAATCTAATCTTCGACTCTTCTCCCAGAGTTTTTAATCATGATTTTTCACAGGTTCCAGCAAAACCCAAAATTCTTCCCTTGTCAGCGAAAAGTCTGCACAGCACTCCAGAGGGGTATTCTGAGATGACCGCCAAGCACCTGAATGCTTCCAGGGAGAGGCAGCTTTTCCCAAAGATGACAGAAATGGGAACTGACTCTGAGGCATGTGTCAGAAGAAATGCTGTCCGGACACCGAGGGAAAGGAGGATACACACAGTAGCACTCCGCAAGTCAGAGAATTCAAGTAGGGCTTTACCTCTACTTCCAAAGGTGACCTTGGCAATGTCCTAAAACTTGGCCCAAGCTTTCCACAGCTCACCTAGAATCTTACCACAGGGGCAACTTCCCCTGTGACGTATGGCGAGACACCACCCTGGTGTTGTCCGAAGTGAATAGAGTTGTCTTTTTTTTTTTTTTTTTGAAAGCACTGTTTCAGCTAATGTCACTTTAAGATCTGCGTGTTTCAGCAGAGTTACTCAACTGGGATAGCTAATGGAAAGGCTGGCACCAGGCCAAAGGTGGCCCAGTTAAAGCACCTGTCATTGGGTTCAGTTACTTAGATTAGTGAGTGACTGACAGCTCACACAGGTCTGCTTCAAGTCAATAAGCCCTAATAATAGATACCAGGGAAGTCGTATGGATCACAGCTAAGTGGATTCTTGACAACATAAATGAGCTGATCTGAGTGTTGATGGCTAAAGAAACCTAGGAAAGATTGGCTCATACGTGGCCTCAAAGGTCCAAAGATTTGACCCTTTCAGGAATGTTACTTTCATCAAGCTCTTGTTTACCTGAAACTACACCTTCCCCCCCTCCCTCCCTCCCTCCCTCCTGTATCCCGCCTGGCCTTAAATTCCCTCATAGCCAAGCATGACCTTGGACTTCTGATCACCTCTGGGTTGCTGGGATTATTAGCATGCCTAGTTTCAACATTCTAGGCCCTGTTCTTACTGATTTCTCCCCCTGCAACACAGTCTACCTAGGACACTCGAGACAAGCCTGCACAAATAAACTGAGTGCCACTTGAGCTACGCTGATGAACTGAAGAGACATTTGACAAGTCCTACAGTGGCTCTGTGCTATCGAGTCCAGGGTTCCAGTGACACCCTGTATGTGAAGGGACCTCATTCCCAGTGTGTTCTGGGCAAAGTGTGTGATGATACGGCTTCCCCTCACTACAGGTGCCTTACCTAGCTGTGCCAGCAGAGGGCAGCATCAGATTATCCAACGTGTCACAAGCACACAGAAAGGGGGCCCTGAGCTTTGCTGTGTCAGACATTTATATAGCTCTTACATTGAAGTAATATTGTGTAGTTTAGGTGAGCACAAAAATCCAAGGGTGCTCCTAAACTAGAATTTACTAGTTTAGCCTCAAATCCCATGTTCAAAATAACTTTGCAAAATCAAAACTTAGATAACAATATTACACCTTTCCAAAGCCTTCGACTGAATCCAGGTGCCATTTCCAACCTGAAATCGAGCCCTACCTACATTACTGATGATGTGGGGCCCAAATCTGAATTTTGGACCAGGACTGGATGGGAAGTCAGAGGAAGTGGCACTGGGAGATCATGGGCAGAATCTGCAAGCTTTGCTAAACAAAAGCTGTTTTTCTTTCTCCTTAACACCACATATATCCTCTTAAAGAGGAAGTGTAATCAAGGAAGCAGTTTCCCAAAAGACATTCCAATCGCCCAGGTGCTGAGTCTGAGCAGCTGCTGACTTCTCAGCATCAGGAAATTTCGTTGCCGTCTTTTAAAAAAAAAAAAGAGAGAGAGCGAAATTGAAATATTTTTGGTTCAAATCCTGACAACTTATAGCACTGGGGGGGAAACGACTTCAAATAAGAATTCAACACAACTGACAATCACCTAATTACACTAAAAAAGCTGTAATTCACATCCATTAATGGGAGAGTTGGCAGATGACATCCCACACGTGTTTACCTTCATGGAGGCCTTCAGTTCAGAAGCATCATACTGGGCAGGTGTCTTCAGTAGGCCCAAAATCACCGTCTCCAGGTGGCCAGATAAGGCTGACTTCAGTGCTGACGGAAGCTCCTGCAAAAGGGAGATGTTTGAGAGGCACACTTACCACCAATATCCACTTTAAAACCAGTGAGACAGACATAAGACATCTCTGTCTAAAAAGTAGGCTGTGAGGCTTCAACCACTCTGTGGTCTGGGGAGAACTTCCTTCCTTACATTCCCTTCAAAAGACCAGGAGGTCAGAAACAGCACTGTAACAAAACCCATTAATATCCAGGCTCATCACTAGCCAGAAACCGGTGTAGCATAACAGTTCCTGAGAGAGCTAAGAGCAGTACTTTACACTACCATGGGGACTCCCTGTGGGAGACAGAGCACTTTCCAAGGTCAAGGTCTAGCTGAAAAGAAGTGTGGTATAAAGAATAGCAGAGCCCACCAGGGCTACTGAGATCCCAGGAAAGGCATTTGTTAAGTTTCTCTAGGGTGGGGTCTTGGAGCCTGCAGAGGGAACCAGATGTCCTAGCAGGGCAAGGAGCGGGGCTGAGCCTTCCCTGGGTTAAACACTGTACCTCACTCACATTGAGTCATCTACTCCTCCAAATTGGGGTGGTGTTAATGAATACAATGTGAACTCCAGCCCCCTAGAGTCCCTTTTTGATTCCCTGCTGAATATTATTTCTTAGGGATGCTATTGTCATTGTGAACACATAATTTTAATAAAGTCAGAGATCTGATGCAGCACTTATATATGTAGACAGATATCCTTAATTCCGGGTGGCTCTTAAAGATACGTTCTTGGGATAGGACATCTTGCCAGCTATAGGCACTGAATAGCTGAACTGAACTGAAGGGAACTGCAATTGTTCCCTCTCTCTCTCTCTCTCTCTCTCTCTCTCTCTCTCTCTCTCTCTCTCTCTCTCTCTCTCTCTGTGTGTGTGTGTGTGTTCGTGTGTTCATGTATGATGGCACACATGTATGTAAAGGTCACAAGACAAGCTTAGGGTCATTCCTCAGGTGCCCTCCACTATCTGTTTGAAGAAGGGTTTCTCGATGGCCTGAAACTTGGTCATGTAGGCTGGCTGGTCAACAGTTCCTGGGGATCCACCTGTCATGCCTCTCGAGGTGGTGTGTAGCATGCTTTAGAGACAGTCTTTCCAAACCCACATGTGTCAAGTACGTCAGACCTGATGTAGGTCTGAGGAAGCATTGGGACCAGCCCATTCACTGTCTTTCTCTGGCTTCTGATGCTCTAAACATGCATGGGCGGTAGGAGGTTCTTTCTAAAACAACACACACCGATTATAACACCAGCCTTCCAAATTGGAACCCTGAGGTTAAGTGATCCCAACTTAGTCTGCCCTTGACACTTCCCACCACCATCTCAGCACAAACAAAAATCCCAGAGGGGATTAATTAGAGAACAGTTGTCCACTGTATAGAAAAACCTCATGTCTAATACTGGTTTGAATGTGCAAGGCACAAAATCCAAACTTCCTTCCTCTTCATGGCCCTCTTTTGCTAGCTGTGCCAAGATCTGCAGCTTATACCTGGGCAGGGTTAGTATGCATCCTACTAGAGCAGGGTTCTCAACCTTCCTAATGCTGTGACCCTTTAATACAGTTCCTTATGTTGTAGTGACCCCAACTATAAAATTATTCTCCTTGCTTCTTCATAATTGTAATTTTGCTACTGTTGTGAGTCATAACATAAATATCTATGCTTTATGATGGGATCATGACCCACAGGTTGAGAATTGCTCCCCTAGACTAGACCTTGACAAACAATTCATCTAAAAAATGCTAGGATGCCCTTCAGAAATGACCTCAAGCAGTTATGGCATCTTTCTGTGACAGATAATCATTCTGGGCCACCAAGAGTCATAGGAGAGTAGGGTATCCCTAGCATGTGGCAATGCCTTTGATTTGCTGGCCCTTCTCATGATTCTGATAATATCTTTACTCCAGCAGGCTATGAAGGAAGGATCTGTGTTCTCCAGCTACCTAATGTGAAATCAAGCTCTGTGTGCGAGCACAGTTCCAAGACCACACCGAACGAGCAATTATTTCCTACTGTCCAGAGTGGTGGATCTCCTGTTCCAACAGGAACTTGGCTCTTCCAGCATTCAGATTCTCTTGGAAAGTCAGAGACATAAACCAGTCCCCTCTGTGCTTCACTGCAGATTAATACAAGTCTAGTGGAAGAAGAATTTGAATGCATGTGGGATGAAGGGAGTCAGCTGTTTTCCTATTTATGTCCTTTCCAACCGCTCCAGAGCATGGAGGAGGGAGCTACAGGAAGGCTTGACCTGTAACTCCCAGGACCTGGAGGTCATGTCAACTCCAGGAACACACAGTCTCTTCTGGCATCCTTTCAGGTCACCTCTACTGTGGCCTGAGTAAGACGGGAGCTGTACGAAGCCACTCTTACGGCACTGTCCAAGAATAAGTGAAAAGCTCCTTAAAAATAAAATTTCCCCATGCTGCAGCAAAGTAAGAGGAGCAAGTGGGAGCTGCTTTTGACTGCTGGTGGACCAGCAAAGGAGAAAACACACAAAGACTCCTTAAATAGCAGGATCGAGGCATGCTGAAGATAGCAGGAAGGGCCACAGCATGCAGCCACGCCCAATAGCTGGAATGATTTGAAGATGCCAAGCATGTTATTTGTTTGTTTATTTGTTTGTTTTGTGTGTGTGTGCATATGTTCATGTGTACATGTGTGTTTACACATAAAGGACAGAGGGTAATGTTTGTTTCTTGCCTTAATTGGGCTCCATCTGATTTTTGAGACAGGGTCTCTCACTGAACTCAGAGCTCTCTGAATCAGCTAGACTGATTGTCCAGAGAGCCCCAAGAATTCTCCTGTCTAGACTCCCTAGAACTGGGGTTACAATGAGAAGCCAGTGCATGTAGCCTTTTTTTTTTTAAACATGGATGCTGGATATTGAACTCAGATCCTCACGCTTGTGTGGCAAGCACTTTACCAACTGAGCTGTCTCCCTAGCCCTTTAGTGCAAGTGAGAAGACCCTGTTAGCATCAATGCCCAGCAGAGGAAACCATCCTAAAATTAAGTTCCTTGTGGCATATTCCAGAATGTCTCCCTCATGTGCTCCAAGGTGTTGCCTTTATGTTCCAGCTCCTACATGTGTACCTGTGTGAGTAGCAACCCTCACAAGGATGTAAGAGGGACACCTTGGATATCCAAGGGTTCTAGAAGGTTCTTTTTGGTTAAAGAAGAGCCACAATTCACAGAAAGAATGTTGGGGGGTGGGGCGTGGCTCAGCAGGTAATGGTGCTAGATGTAAAAAAGCCAGATGTGGTAGCCCACAGCTGTAACCCAAACATTTCTGTGACAAGATGGAAAATGAAGGCAGGAGAATCACTGGGGAAGCTCCAGAGTCTGCCACCCTGGGGTATGCAGGGCGACATGAACAAAGGACACACCGCATGCGCGCGCGCACACACACACACACACACACACACACACACACACACACACACGCACACTCACACACACATGCACATTTAAGAACAGAACAGGCAATGTCTGAGGACACAATTCAGCAAGGCCTGCCCTCCACCCCAACAGTCCTGTACCTTTTTGGTTCTTCTCTGATAGGCGAAGGCAATGTCCTGTCTCTGCGCATTGCTGCGGTTAGTCAGAATGTTGACAATGGTGACCTCATCCACTCCTGTGGAGAAGCAGTTGTGAACAGTTACCCCACCACACTCTCCTACTTCAAGGGACTTTCATACAGTGAACTCTTCTCTCTTCCCGACCCAACACAGACCCCCTCATTGCCCTCTTTCCCAGAAAGCCTTAGACAGCAGGCCTCAACCCTTTAAATATTTGTACTTAAAAAGCTATTTTGTTCATAAATTGGTTCCTGAAATCAATCGTGGGAGGTTTGTGTGTGAAACTCTGGCAGCCAGATGGAACGAACAACAAAGATTTAGGAGGATTTTAAACGCAGGTCCCCAAATTGCCACTTAACTAGAGAATTAATAGACAGAACCTTCAAAATGAATTAATAGAGACAATTATTTATATTTATTGCAAGATTACGGCTGTATAAACGGCTAGGTATAATTTCTATAATTATACCAGCTGTCATGACAAACGAGTCAGGCTTAATATGGCAGTTATAGTTTAATAGCTTAATTGATTAATAGAACCACACTTATTGAAGATGAGATTGTCTCACAAGGAAAATACACATCCTGTGCTTTCAATCTTCAATAGGTGACTTTAATAATCAATTTTACAACTGTATTAAAAAGAGTAAGTGTTTTAATCTAAATTAAATCTAAATTGGGAGTTTTGAAGTGCCACCCAAATGTTTCAGTACCTATTTTAATTGGAACATGTGTATTTACAAAGATAAGCAATGCCTAGTGGTATCTGAAAGTTTCCAATTTTATATCAGAAATATTCCTCACATGTCATTTAAGTCAGGAAAGCTTGGTTTTGAGGATTCAGGCAGAGAGAAGGCTCTCTCCTGCATGACTATGAGCTTAGTTTAAGTACTTCTGGAGTCTCCAAGCTCACAAGACTACTCCCAGACTGCACATGTCTTGTCTTACAGGAAGTCAGAGGCATCCCAGAGCATTCAGAAGCCCAGAACTATGATGCCTGGGGGCAAAACAAAGAACAGATGGACAAGGGACACATCCTAGTGCTTCATGGGCTTTGGAAACTTACAGTTTCTGGGTATAAAAATAAAGATGCGGGCTGGAGAGATGGCTCACGGTTAAGAGCTCTGACTGTTTTACCCAAGGAACCAGGTTCAACTTCCAGCACCCATAGGCAGCTCACAACAGTAATATAACTCTAGTTTCAGGGGACACAAAACTTCCCATGGCAAAACACTAATGCATATTTAAAAATAATAATAAAATTAAAAAATAAAGATGACTTAAAATTTTATATACTCATTTTAAAGTGAGGTCACACCTATAAACATACTAACATATTAACAAATGTCTCTGACCAGTTTAGATTTTAGAGTAGTCTGCAAACACAGAAACTCTACTACTAGACCCTGGATCAGCTCTGGGATGCTGATGTCACCTCTGTATTTCCAATAAGGGTTGGTTAAATACCCTTTTGTACACTTTTGGGAATACTGTGTGGTCATTTAAAATTACAGTGTGGAAGTATTGTTTGATTGGGGGAAAACACTCAACATAAAATCAAAAGCACGGATTGTAAACCAGTGGGCCCAGTATAATCTGACTTTTATTTAGTTCTTCATTTTGTTTTCTTTTTGAGACAGGCTTTCACTATTTAGATTCAGTTAGCCTCAAATTCACAGAGATCTACCTACCTCTGCTTCCCACCTGCTGAGATTAAAGTTGTGTGGGCTACATGGAGAAACCATGTCTCAAAAAACAAAAAGCAAAACCAAAAAAATAAAAAATAAAAAGGAATATGTGTCTGTGTATAAGACGGGATCTAGAAGGGTGTTTACCAAAGTTTAGCAGTGATCATCTGAGGGGTGAGGTAATTAATATACTTGCAAAATTCATCATAATGGCCATAAGGGAGGTGCAGTGGTAAAATACATGATGAATGTTGCACAGTCCTTGAACTAGATCAACCAATGACGTCACTTCAGAAGACACTGAGCATGGTGTGGCATAGATCTGTAATCTCAGCACTTTAGAGGTTGATGCAGGAGGATTGCAGTTTTGGAGTTAGCCTAAGTCATATATCAAGGCTTTCAAACCACTATGAGATGTGGGCCTATTTTTCTTTTATAGATGGGCAGTCCAAAGCTCAGACTGGGGCCCAGGTCTGCATCAGTGACCTGTGGAAATGCCGGCTCCTGTGAGTTGCACTCTCTCCATTTGCTCAACTTGGGGACACTGGACAAAGACCTACAGCTTTACATTGAACCTCTGACAGAACCTAACATTAACCTACATTTACATGTTATTAGGGATGGCAGTAGATTTAGGCAAAGAGTCTTTAAGGTTATAAGCCAGAATGTGACCCTTGGCTGACCAGTACTGAAATCCCAGAACATGTACTAAAATCTCTATCCCAAGCAAGTAATATGGCTCAGGGGATAAGGGCAATTGCTGCCAAACTTGATGACCAGAATTTGAGCCTTGAAGCAACCCACATTGACCAAGAGGACTGACTCCCAAAAGTTGTCTTCTGGCCTCCACATGTGTACCTCGGTATTCTTTCACAGTAAACCATCAACCAATCAATGTGAACAACAAAACTCCTCAGTCCCCACCAGAGCTCTACTCATTAGGACTTTCTAGGAACCCTGAAAGCAGCATTTTCTCACCGCTTCCAGATAACCTCTTCTGTGACACTCATTGACAAAGGCGGGTGACCAAGGCTGGGGAATGGAAATCTGTCACTATGCTGTACTTTTATACCATTGCCTAGTTCTATGAGGCAGAGGGTTAACTGCAATCTTTGGGAAGGAAATATTTACTTCTCTCTAAACAACCCAGGCAAGGATAACACCCAGAAAGAGATAGCTACACAAACTGTGATCCCAGGTCTCAGGCAACAAAAGAGCGTTTCTCGTATCTTTCAGCAGCCCTGTATCCAGTTAGCTAAACTGGAGTCAGTTTGGTCTTTGTGAAGGTACTAAACTTGGGTCCTCTGCAAGGGCAACAAGCATTCGTAACTGCTGAGCCCCACTGGGATGATCTTTCTAAAATTGTGAATCACACTCCAGCTACACAGAGAAAACCTGCCTCTGAAAAAAACAAAAAAGAAAAGAAAAAAGTTTCAAATGTTGGCTGAATCCAAACCCACAATGCCTGACATCCTTCCACCCCACCCCTCCTCCTCTCTGTGGGTAGAAATCCCAAGTCTGCTCCGTACTCATGCATTCCATGGAAAACGCGTGTCTCCACTGTCCATGGCAAGGAACCAAGAACCATTTGGAACAGGATGCTGACTCACATCAGCAGACATGCTGACTGAACAAAGAGTGGATTTCGTTTGTTTGATAAGGGCTCAAGAGGCCTCGGGATGGGAGCTGTCTGGTTGGAAAGAAAAGGAAAACTGCCTTGTTGAGGTCACCAGGGGTGGAGGGCAGGTGGGGGACTGCTGGATATCTTGGTATTTTTGACTTAGAAAAAAATCATCTTTACCACAGAGTCTTAAGTATGCCGCAGAAAGGACTGGGCCAGGGACCCAGGGGTACTATGACAATTAATAGCATCCACTTGACAGGATCTAGAACACCTATGAGACCAGCTTCCAGGCAAGTCTGTGAAGGATTACCTGGATAGGGTAAACAGAGGTAGGAAGAGCCACTTTAAATGTGGGCAGCACCATCCCATGGGCTGGGTCCTGAACTGTATGAAATGGAGAAAGTGAGCTGAGCACCAGCGTTGGTCCCTCTCTCTGCTTCATGGCTGTGGATGCAACACAGCTGGGTGCCTCCCATTCCTGCTGCCATGCCTTCCTCACCATGATGGTATACTCTCCAATTGTGAGCCAAATAAACTCTCCTTCCCTTAAGATGCTCTCACCGGGTATTTTTCCCAGAAATGAGAAAAGTAACTGACACAGGAGGCCTCTGCATGAGCAGCAGCAACAGAGGCCATACTCTGCAAAGTGTCTAGGACTCAGGCCGGCATGACCTGGGACACACCGCTTGTCTCCCTTGCCTGGAGTCTGCAGACATAAAACAGGGACCATCGTAAAACTTATTTTGCTAGAACATAAAAAAACTGAGTGAATGATAGGAGGCAAGCCCTTCCCTCTGCTTCTCTGACGCAGACCTAGGCCATGCCTGGATTCAAATACTGGCCTAAGAAAACACAGGGCAGGGAGAAGACAGAGCCATGTTTGCTAATGGCTCCCAGGAGATTAACAGTACAGTTTCTAGGTAAACTATGGAAGCACCAGGAGAGCTAGGAGAGAAAATATATTCACAGGGTAGGGGCTGAGGAGCATCAGGCCTCTGAGGCATGGTGTAGCTGTGGGGCATGGACAGTTCAAGGACAAACTAGCTAAGTACCCAAGAAAGCATTTTAACCCAGAGACCAAACTTCTGTTGATGCCACCCTGGTTAAACTACTGAGAAAGGATGTAAGGCCTGGTCTACTTTGTTATAGGCAAGGGATGCATTAATGATCCAGAATACAGGGTTAGAGCTGTAGCTCGCCTAGCATACATGAAGTCCTGAGTTTGGAACCAAACACCACATAACCCAGTGCTGTGGTGCATACCTGTAATCCTCACACCTGGGAAGCAGGAACTGGAGGGTTAGAAATTTAAAGTCATCCTTGACTAGATAACAAGTTCTAGGCCAGCCTGGGATAGAAGAGACCCTGACTTTAAAACAATAAATCAACAAAACCCTTCTAATGCTCAGAGAATAACTAGTATGCTTCTAAAATCCCATGTAGTACCAGCAGGAAAACACAAAGAGCAAATCCAATCATAAATGAAGTAACACAGCACCTTTTTATGCCCCGCCACTCCAGTCACCTCAAGGAACAGGAAAGGGCAAACCTGGACACTGCAACAGAAACTAGCAGGCCTACTCTTTACTCAAGCCATTGAGCAGATGCCAGATGCCAGATAAGAATCCGGTTTCTTCTGCAGTTTCTAGGTGAAACTGGTATTTGGATCTCCTCAGTGGACAGAAGGGCATTCTTACAAAGAAGAAAGGGCTGAGGAGAGGCAGCCAACAAAGGCTGATGCCAGCAATGAAGGGGGGGCACTGGGGACTCCTTCCCCTGAGTTTTCCAGTCACCTGGTACCTACACGGCTATGCAGACAATGCCCTTAGAGAGGAAAGCTGTGCTCAGGAGTTAAAGCCACTGTAACTCAACAGGGGCCTTGTCTGCCTCTGAGAACAGCTGTAAGATGAGGTTTGGTTTGCAGTGACTCTCAATCCCAAGAGGGAGGCCTCTACAAAGAAAGAGTGGACAGGTTCCCTGCTAGCAGAATGAGATGGCCCCAGGACCAATGAATTCCAAAGGCCTTCCTCAAGGGTGTGCCCCAGAGCAGCAGGGTTTTCTTCAATCTTCACCTCCCCGATCTTAGAAGCAAGAGGTACACCCCAGCCAGTATATCTCCTGGCACTCTCAGAGAATATACTCTCTTAATTGGTCACTCAGCTGCTTGCATCTACCTCCAGGTGTGCAAGCGAAACCAAAATTACTGGTCCTGGCTCACTCTTCAGGGCATAGGAGGGTGGTCTTACAGCCTTGCTGGGAATCTTAGATGGCTCTGTTTTAAAATATAAGAGAAAAGAAGTGCAGAAATTCACTTCTATAGTTGGGCTCACTCATGAGGAGGGGGGCCTTGCCCTTCCGGAGAACACAAATACCGCTCAAATCAAAACTGGCAATAATAGAGCAACTCTGGGCCCTCCCCTCTGCAGACGCCAAAGCTGCTCAGATTCATTGGCACCAATGCTAACTCCAGGGCTGTGCTGTTGCTAATTACCATCTATTTCATGGAGTTGAGATTCATCCTTTTCTAATTTAGCTGACTTTCCTTTCTAGTTATTTGAACCCATATGGTAAACCATCCCCAGCTGTGTTGAACACTCCATAGTATATATTTAACCAAAGGCCATTCTAGACCAAGAGACTACTACAAAGTCTCAGAAACCTCTTGTTAATTAAGCAATATTACTACTTTTGCATGGCTTAACTCAGCGTCTAACTAGACATAAATTACTCAAAGTATTGCACGGTCTACCTCAGGCCAGAGTAAACACATGACAACCTTGCACTGGGTTTAGGTAATGAGAGGAAAACATTCAACATCCTCCAACTAGAAACAAAGCTGGCTTGTGAGAGTGAGCTAAATTTGGCTGGTGAAAATGGATCGAAGCTCATGGGGACCATTCAGTCTTCTGGGTGACACCAAACTCTGTAACGAACAGTTGCTGCCTGTCTTGCAAATACATCTGTGCTCTCTGTGCTCTGATATCGGTACATCTATTATGTGAGTTGTTACCTCCTCACACAATCTCATGGTCCTGAGCATCTTTAAAAGGTTAAGAGAGCTGGAGAGATAGCTCGGCAGTTAAGAGCAGTGGCTGCTCTTCCAGGGGACCTGGGTTCAATTCCCAGCACCCACATGGGACTTTGTAACTCCAGTTCCAGGGCTTCTGACACCCTCACACAGACATAAGTACAGGCAAAACTCCGATGTACAGAAAATAAAAATAAATAAAAAAATTTAAAGGTTAATAAATGAAACCACTTAAGAAAAGACAGATCTAGAAGTTAATAACGGTGTGGCCAGAACTATGATGGAGGCATGAAATGGGAGCACAGGAGGCAAGGAGGTGACCAACTCCACACAGCTGTAATCCCAGTAATGGGGAGCCACAGGGAAGAGATCAATAGCCCTGGCTAGCCTGGGCTACACTGCAAGACCATGACTGGGGGGCTCAGGGAGGGGGACACTAAAGTAGAGTCATGCTCGGCACCTGTTACATACTGAAGTCATATACCTGTGGAGTAGCAAGAGCAGAGGCGCCATCTGCTAAGTGACACTGCCTGGAATAGATGAAGCCAGAAATGAGAACCGTAACAGAAGCAGCAAGGAGGCCCATTTTAAAAGTGAGCCATCAAAATGCCCAAAGGTGAGCTCTCGCAGGTGATGGGGGAAGGGATGGAGAAGAGTTACCAGGGTAGAGCCAGATCCAGATCTCTGCCCACTCCGCCCCTCCTAATGACTGTTCTCATGCCAAGTGTCTGCCCATGCCCAGTCCTCATGTTCAATAGTAACTATTCGGTTCCAGGCAGGATGTCCCGCCTGCTCCTCCCCTTGCTAGCCTGCAAGAGTCCAACCTACCTCGTCTGTGTCAGGCGCAAGGTTACTAGGGAGCAGACAACCATCATCCAGCCTTGGTTTGTGTTTCTATGGACATTCAAGGTTTACCCTGTTTCCTTTGATGTCAAGACAACGCCAGCTCCTGACAAAGCATCTGAGGTGAAGGTGTTCAGGAGTGTCTTAATCACTCCAGATTCCTCATTACTTAAGTGGTGTTACTTATCTGAAATATCAGGGGCATGTTCTTAATGAACTTGTCCTGCCTGTCTCCAGAAAAGCAACGCATAACCATCATGGAAAATTTGGAAAACACAGAAACAGAATATGTTGAAAACACAAGAATCAATAATTCATAATTTCATACAGCTACTAGTACCTTTGGGGTTTTCCCCTTTTTGAGTAAAGATTGTAGCTCTCATAATAGCATGTAGTATACTATATTTTATTGCCATTTTCCTGCACAACTGGCCGAGTTTAAGGTGAATGAATGTTAAAACGAGCATATTAAATTGTCAATATTGGTAGATAAACATCTGCAAAATACACTTAAGACAATACTTGTTAAATCTTTTATTGTAAAGAACATCATACTTAAGAAAACTGTTATTTATTAAAACCACAAGGCACACACACACAAAAAAACCAAATGGCAGTGTGGCCCCAACTGCAGCACTGAGCACTAATGCTGGGGGTTGGGTGGGATCAAAGGAAGAAGAAACAGCTGCCCTCGCTAATGCTGCACCACAAGTGTGATGCATATCTGGGGGCGACAGGATCAGACTGGTCTAAGACAAAGGGATGAATCTAATCCTAACAGCTGGGTGCTGTGACACAGGTTGTGGATGGGCTTTGAAGGACTATGTTCAAATCCAAGCCTGAACCAGGGCCAACAGACATGAAGCATGTTAACTAAGCCTCCGTGGTATCATATGTAAACTGGGAATGGCATCAGAAATTAATCTGAAGGTCAGAGAATTGGGACGCTCCAGAATAGCTCAATGCATTATCTACTCATCATAAGCACCTAATAATATTGGTGAAGACATCCACAGCATGGTGGCAGTGGTGATGTCAGCCACGCTGGTCCACACAGGATTGTGGGAGCCCATGTCTCAGCCCTCAGGGCTTTCCTGCTTGGGAACTATAGTGATTGTCTGCTGACTTGGAGAAGGGCCTGGAAGTATTTTTATTAACGTGAGCGTTTTAGCTGTGGCCAGAGTTCATCTGTGCAATCTTTACATTCCAGTGGGCTAAGAGCTTTCTCACGCAGGGATAAAAAGCACCTTTGTGCTAAGCTTGTAAAAGACACCATCTTTGTCAAATGAGTAAACTATTAACCTCCAGGGTGTTTCTGCAAAGGTATATATGGAGAAATCACAAGAATCACATGCCTAGTAGTGAAAGAGGAATTGTTTTAAGAAAGTGGATTATATGTAGTGTGTGTGTGTGTGAGTGTATGTGTGTGTGTGAGTGTGTGTGTGTACGTTTTAAGATAGCAATTAGTTTCTCTTAGTGGTGTGTGTGTGTGTGTGTGTGTGTGTGTGTGTAGGTGTGTACAAAAGAGTGTGGTGCCTGAATATGGCATCTGATACTCTGGAGCTGGCATCACAGGTGGTTGTGACCCAGCTACACTATGAGTTCAAGGCCACCCTGACAAGGAGAAGACAGGTGCAGGGCCTACCTTTGGTCTTGACAGCCGTCTCGATGTTCAGAGCGTCCCTCTCAGCATCAAAGTTGGTGTAGGGTTTGACTGAGCCATAGGCACTTGGGGGTGTGGAGTGCTGCAATGGGAACACAAACACACTCAACACATGGCAGTGCTCTCAATGAAAGAACACCCCTGAGCCCAGATTCCACGCTCCTGTTTCTCTTCATAATTCTAACCACTTTCACCATAAGTACGTAGGTGTTTACAGGCTACCACACTCCTCTGTCTTTATTTATGTTAGGTTTGTTTTAATACTGGGAATGTAGCTCAATTGGTGGAGTATTTGCCTAACACAGACTAAGCCCTGACTGTCATCTCTCAGCACCATATAAACTGGGTCTGGTAGCCCAAATTTATAATCCTAACACCTTGGAGACAGAGACAGGATGATCAGAAGTTCAAAGTCATCCTTGGCTACATTATAGGTTTGAGACCAGCTTCGGCTACAAGAGACCAAAAAAAAAAAAAAAAGGAAGAAAGAAAATTTTCACTTGTTTCCACAGAGTGTTCTTCACAGACTTCACTAGTTTAGATGATACTATGCTTCTACTCTGCATTTTACTTGTAGTAACAGCTTCAAAGCACAAGGTACCAAGTTAGGGACCCAAAACTAGCATCTGTTCACGTTTCTGAAGAGAAAGAAACTGGTCTAACAAGAATTTGAACAAAGTTAAAACTGTGGAAATGTCTGAAAGATGAGTGTGCACTGCCAAGTGTTAGTACAGGCCTGTGCTGCGTAGATCCCAACTCTTTAAACAGTGAATGCAGGACTGGGGATGGGTCAGTTGGTAGAACGCTTGCCCTGAGTGCCTGAAGCCCTGAGTTTGATCCCCAGTATATGAGTGGGGGTGGTAATCCCAGCACTGGGGAGGTGGAGGCAGGAGAATCCGAAATTCAAAGTTATTATCAGCTACATGGCAAGTTTCAGGGTAGCCTGGGATACATGAAGCCCAGACTCCAAAATAAAAACAAATAAACAAACAAGCTAATGAGCAATGCTAATCCCTGTGCCTCTATGGGCTGTGCAAGGGAAGGGATTTCCTCCAGGTATATGCAGTGACTACCTTTGTGGCACCAAGGTAGGTGTGAGTCAGCCCACATCCTCTTTACTGTGACAAGTTCCTGCTCCTCTCCCTTCTCTGCCTTCTCCAGGATGCCCTCGCCTACCGCTCTGCCTGGCACAATTTCCTTATTGTCTTTTAAATAGTCCTTCCTCTTTGGATGCCTGTCAGAGCCAGCACTTTCCTGTGCGGATGATCTAGAATATTTGCCCACCCCCAAGATAATGGCCTACTTCTCTATCCATTCTCTCTTCTATGCATTTAAGTTCCGTCCTCTTGTGAAGTGTTTCTGCAGGGATAGCCCGCTCACAAATGATGGGCAAGCAATGGGTATGAGTGATGTGACTTTGACTGGTGGATGGTTCAGGACCATCCACCACTGATGCATCTCCTACATGGTGGCTCTTCACCCCGCAATGCCCCATATCACAGCCTCCCTGGTACATAGAATAGGTGATGGTGACTCATGATGGTGACCAGCCTCAGGGTAGCTTCCATGAAGAGTCAGTTGACCATGGTGACATCAATGATCTGCTCACCCACAGGTTTCCTGAGCCAGCCCAGTACCCACACCATTGGGTATCCTTACTAGTGAGATGACTCAAGCAACTGAGAGCCATACTAGAACTTTAAGTTCAGGGTCAGACGCCTGCTAAATGGGGCCAAATGGTAAATCTGGTTCATATTTATAGTTCTGAAACACAAATCATGACCAAAGTTTGCCTTGCCTAATTTCACCACTTTCAGGCATGCTCGACCTTGTGGCATAACATTACTATCTACAAAGTTCATGCTCAAAAATGAGGCAATTGAGTTACAAAATCATGTGCCTTAGTATTTTAAGTAAGTTTACAATTTTGGGTAGGCCCCATCCATACCTATCTTGGGATGCCTGTGGCCTATGGGGCTGTCGGTTGGGCACCAGTGGCTCAGGTAGGGGAATACTCTGGGAAGATTGATGAAGTGATACAGCATACATGAAGAAAATTTCAAGCAAAGTGCTTTCTGGAAATGTGTTTTGCATTTGTTCTTGTTAGCTACAGAAAAAAAGTGGGCAGGAATCTAAGGAAAATTCTGTTCTGATTCTTAACAGGGCAGGCAGCTGGCCATGTGCCCACAAGACACATGGCTCACTGGTCAGGTTGGCATCATTAAGTGAGTGGGAGAAAGGGGTGTGGTCCTGTGGTAACTCCAGAAACATAAAGAAATGGCTAATCAGGTGCCTACAAAATCCGTTTGTCTGAAAATTAAGTTATTAGGTAAAAGTGATCTTTCCTTTGCTTACAATAATGGGCAATATAGGGTGTTTTGTAGTTTAGTCCCATCTCTCCATGCCTACTCCTAGGGTAGAGTAACTTCAAAAACTGACTGAATATCTCTCTTTTATAAACCCTTTGTTTTAAGGGTCTAAGCTAGCCTCACACTTGATACATAGCCAAGGATGACTCAGAACTTTGAATTCTCCTGCCTCCCTGTCCCAAGGGCTGCAATTACAGATGTGCACGCCTGATTTCTGCAGTACTGTGGAAGGAACCTATGGCATCACACCAGCTAAGCTAGACATGTACTCTGCCAACCCGGCCACTGACTTCTCATGAAACTTCATACCAAGAACAATCTAATCATCAAAGACATTAGATAAAATCTGTTAGAGAAACAAATTATATAACAGCAAGACTTGTCTAGGGCCTAACAGCAAGCCAAGTTCCAAGATGAGGGAAGATTTAAATGAGGAAATAATAAAAATGCTTTAATATTCCACACAGTCTGTGTTCAAACAGGCCCAGTCATTTGCATGTTAAGAGAGCAGGTGCCACAGACAACAAAGAATGGCTTCTACACATGACCCAAGTTGTCATCTGTCTTTTGAGTGACTCTTTAAAAGACAAATTTTACTTCTGAGCTTCCTCACAGACAAAATAAAACAATAACAAAGCCCTATGATTAATTATATAATTATTCTTTTTAAAAAGACACATTCTGTTTTATTTTGTAGAAAAGCTTTCCTGGGAGCTAGATTAAACAGAAAAGGAGGGACTTCTGAGACCCCACTCTAACTGAGGAAGTCCTATAGTTGATGGTTGCTTTTAGAGAGAATCGCTTTTTGGGAGGGATGTGGTCACTGGCAGGTTATCCATAGTTCAATGGATGCAGACTCATGCACACATGGGCAGCACTAATGGGACTCAGGGAGTTAATAATTAATAATAATAATAATAATAATAATAATGCCATAGGCCATTGCATAGAAGAATATTCCAGATATTCTAAGAAGCCTAAAACACACTGGAATTGTTTTTTGACATGGCTGAAGCTTATGATAAATAAAGCATTAAGGCTTGACATTAAAAACTTGCATGTCACCAAAGCAATAATTACCACTCATGGAGTAAGTCTGATAGAGCACAATTCCAACCATTTCCTTCTCCATGAGGCTGTCCAAGTCTCATTCGATGCCAAAAAATGTTTTAGCACCATGACATTTATTTCAAATGAAACTGCTAGGAACAGTTAAAGCAATGAGTAACTGGGGCCCAGTGGAGACATCTAATAATGACTGAATTATGGCTCCATTTTCCTTGTGTATACAGAGAGATCATAGCATAGTTCAACAGATGTCCAATTTGTAAAATCACACAAAGTGAGAGATTAGATACTTACATCACCCTCCAAGCTGAGCTTGCACAGGATTTCATGGACAGTAGACATTTTGAAAAAGAAGCTGAAAAAAAAAATACAAAGTCTTTTAAAAGGCAGCTTTCTTTCCCCCAAGCACAGCAACTTGTCACTAACGTCTGCTTGGACAATTGCACCAGAGGCTGTTAAAGCAAGCATTTTTTCAAGCAAACAATTCTCAATCTTATCATTGAGAAAATTAAAGCTTAGAGATAGGTGCCTTAGGTTGGGGATGGATTACTAAACTAGTCTGTCTCTTGCTCTGGTTAAACAGGACCCGGAGGGTCTGGTCTGTGAATGCAAAACCTAAAAGTTTCCTGTGACAAGCACCACCCATTCAAACAGGGAATGGGCTTTTCTGTCAAAAGCAATAAGCATATCAAAACTGTCATTACTTATGTGCCACTCTCAAGTGACTTCCCATAGTAAGAAGCAGATGAGCTGGGATCAGTAGTGATTCCATGTTGGCCTGATCCCAATAGAAAACTTAATATTAGCCCACAACCATTTCCTCCGGCAATACTCACAATATGCTGGGGCTAGGAGATGGGCTGAGGCTAGGTTATGGGTTTGAGCATAACATGCATGCCTTATGAGCATAAGAGCCTTAGTTTGACCCCTATAACCCACGTGAAAAAGTCTGGGAGATGGGTGGATCTCTTGGGCTCAGTGGTCAGCTAGTTCAACCTAATCAGCAAGGCTCAAGCCAATGAGAGTTCTTGCCTCAAAAACCAAGGTGGGTAACACCAGAGGAGAAATGACACCTAATGGTGACCTCTGGCCTCCACACACATGTGCACCCAAGCACACAAGTATGTACACTGGTAAACACATGCAAAGAGAGTATTAAACTGTTTATAAAATGCAAATAGACCAACTTTTGATACGAACACATCTCACTGAAGCTGACCTTGTATTTAAGATTTAGAGCAGTTGCTATATCATCACCTTCCATCGAACACATCAGTCGGAGCTGCCATACTGATGAATGGCCTTTCCCTGTGTGTGGACTGAGTTGTCAGAGTTGATAACCCCATATACCCAGCCCCCACCACCAAGAGTGACTCCTACCGAGACAAGACAAGTCATTCTGCGTCATCACCCTAAAGAAGAGCACAACATGCAGCCACCTCCCCAAAAGGTTGACAACAGTATTTGCACTAGCAGTGCCCTTGGTACTTGCCGGAATTAAGTTCTCTATTCTCTTCAAGGAGCCCTCTTTGCCTAGATGCTTTCATAAAACTGCTTTGAAGACAATATATGACACAGCCATTTGGCAACTTACAGGAACACTCTGAACTAAGTGAATTCTAGGCTGTGGGAGGTGGGAGGTCAGGGAGAGAGAGTCACCTTTATTTGTGGTCAAGATGTATTTTGAAAGATGCTCACTGTTCCTCCCTCAAGCCTTTTAAGCCAGACTTGGTCTGAGAGTTTCCAGAGCAGGTATCATCTGCCTTGCAGGCTTCCAGACTAAGGAATTAAAATGCAAAGCAGAACGAAACAAATGAAAACCGCCAGCTGACCGTCCAAGTGCCACAGTTGTGTCCACTAACATGGTGTGGATGCAACTCCATGTATAGTCAATGAGGCTCCTCCCCCAGCTCTACTGTTCAGGCGATTTGAGCCACACAAGCACCGCAGGATTTTATTGAGTTGTCTTCCAAGCTGTCTTCCCAGCCTGAGTGCTGCTTTGCAGACAGCTTCCCACATGGAGCCCCCTACCCCCAGTACTGTGCAGATCAAAGACAACCTGATGTACCACTTTACACTCTCTGTTCCTGTTAATTCTTCTCCCACAGCCTCGACTCCTTGAGAGGACAAATAAGAGGGATTTTTTGGTGCCCCACAAATCTTCCTTTCTGTGCCAGCATTTATAATCATCTGTTCTTTCATCAACTTGGTCTTCCCTACTGCTACCAACTCAATCCCCCATCTGATCTTGTCAGATAGCTAGAAATCAAGGCCAGTGCTTCCTCTACCTCCAAGGGAGCACAGCCTTCAAAGATTAGCATCAGGACCCAGCCACACCTCCCTCTATCCATTCCCCACAAAAGATTCGCACTTAGAGTGCTCCTTGACTTAGCTTTCTCCAAGAGGTTTACTTTCTCTCTGGTGCCTGTCCTCACTCCTCTCTCTCTCTCTCTCTCTCTCTCTCTCTCTCTCTCTCTCTCTCTCTCTCTCTCTCTCTCTCTCTCTCTCTCTCTCTCTCTCTCCCCCACCCACACACCACTTAAAACAGGGTGTCATGGAGCTTGAGAAATGCTCAGTGAATAAGGTGATGTCCACACAGGTGTAAGGATCAGAGTTCAGATCCCTAGCACCCAGCTAAAAGTCAGATGGGTGTGACAGTCCACCTGTAATTCCAATGCTCTTGAAGCAGAGACAGGAGATCTCTTGAGTAAGATGGCTAGTCTAGCTAAATGGGATAGCTCCCCCTTCTTCAGGAAAGCCTGCCTCAGTTAATGAAAATGGAACACAATCAAGAAAACAGTGATATCAAACTCTGAACTCCATGTGCATGTAAACATATATGTGTGTATGTATATCCATACCTGCACCCTCATGCATGCACACACATGTACACACACCACACAACGGAAAGAACAAAAAGCCAGGATGTCACTATGTAGCCCAGGCTGGCTTTGAACTCATCATCTTCTTGCCTGGGATTATAGGTGTGTCTGGTCACACCTGGCTCTAACTATATTTTACCGAACTCTGTGCATTCCTCAAGTCACCACTACTTTGGCATTGCTCCGATAAGGTCAGAAGAGCCCCCATTTCACATAGCTCTCCCCAGCCTTTCTATGGGAATTCCTTCATTCATTCAGCATTGAGTGCCCTCCACTTGAGAAGCACTGAAATAGCACATAGTAAATATGACTCAAAGTTGGAAGTACACTTTGCCTCACTTTGGCTACCAAGGCTCAAATCCCTATACAAAAGAAAAATACGTATTTCCACCAACTAGGTGACAGACGTGTGTGTGTGTGTGTGTGTGTGTTCAAATGTACCTGTGTGTTCATGCAGGTGTACTAGATGGTCCATGCATTTGTGTGCAAACAAAGAAGCCAGAAGAGGACACTGGTACCCCCTCTACCACTCTCCATCTTTTCCTTTGGAAGCAGGGTCTCTCTCCCGACACCTGAAGCTTGCACGATCTGGAGTAAACTGAAAGTCAACAATGCAGACATCCTCCTGTTCCCACCCACTTCAGAGCTGGGACACCTGGTTTGCTACCTTTCTGCTGAGCTTTGAAGTCTGGCCCTTATTGCACAGCAAGCACTCTTTACCACTTAGTCATCTCCCCAGCCCCCAGACATGCACTTAAGAACAGTTTTTAATATAAGTCACATTTCTATTACAACCTTTCTGCACCAAAAAAAAATCCAAAAATATCATAATAACCCCAAAGTCACAGAGACTGACAAGCAACATCTAAGTGCCTATATCCATAAATATTTCCTAGCTCATGCAAGTTTAATGGCAACTCTACTTTATCTTAGGAATAACATACGGCCTGTGTTTCTCCGCTTCACCCACTCCCCTGGCTGTGCAGTTCCTCTGAATAGGGCCGATTAGTTGCTAGAACAAACATCGAGTGCTGCCTCTCACTGAGATTGCTAAAACTTTAGTTTGACTAGTGAGAATAGGACAGTGTGTTGTGACTCCTGGGGTCAGAAAAAGGCCTTTGCAGTTCCGGTGAGGTTTGAAGACCCTGGTAATGGACAGGTCAGTACACAGACTCCGGAGTACGTGAACACCCAGACTGCACTCAAGGGATGAGGCATCCGTCCTCCGCCGCAGATTCCCACCTGTGATGGAAAATCTTTGCTGTTGACTTGAGTGGATTTAGATTTACCATGGAAACAAACCTCCAGGTGATCTGTGAAGGATTTCCTAGTTTAGGGTCATTAAAATGGGAAGACCCGTCTTAAATGTGAGTGGTACTATGCCAGGAGCTTTTGTCATAGACTGCATTAAAAAAAAAAAAGACAGTATGCCGAGAACTGGCATTCATACCTCTCTGCTTCCTGACTGTACGTGCAACGTGACCAGCTGCTTCCTCCCGCTCCTGCCGCCATGCCTTCCCTGCTATTATGGACTGTATGCACTTAAACTGTAAGCTGAAGTAAGCCCCTTGTCCTTCAAGGTGCTTGTAGTTAGGTCACAGCAGCCAGAAAAGTAACTAATACACCACTTGTGTGGGAGACATTTGGGACTGTTAGCCGTGGTCCACAGCAGGCTAGGGCTGCAACCCGGGACCTCTGAGTTCTCTGCCTTTGCCCTTTGGATCTCTCCCCAGCGCTCTTCACTGGAGAGGTTAGGTCACAAAGATAAAGGAAGCAGAGTAGCTCGGTCTAATGGTGAGGCCTCTTTGTGAACCAGAGGAACATGTCAGGGGTGGAGAGAGTAGGGGCCTGGGGAGGGAAACATCCCCAGTGTACCTCAGGAATACAAGGGGACAGGTTTGTTAAGAAGCCATGTCCATGTGGTGATCCCAAAATCCAGGACCTGAATGAATGGTGCAAAGTTTGGCTACAGAAATGGTGGAAGGTGTGAGAGTCAAGGCGATTAGACTCAAAACTCATATTTACCTGTTTAATAAAACACAAGATCTAAAATGGGGTTGACAAAAGCCAGGTGTGAAGGGACATGCCTGTAATCCCAGCTCTTAGGAGGCAGAGGTGGGAGGAGAAGGGTCACCCTTGGCTACATATTGAGTTTGAGGCTAGCCTGGGCTACACAAGATCCTGGCTTTAAAAAAGCAAACATTAGCTGGGCGGTGGTGGCGCACGCCTTTAATCCCAGCACTCGGGAGGCAGAGGCAGGCGGATCTCTGTGAGTTCGAGGCCGGGCTGGACCGACAGCCTCCAAAACAATACAGAGAAACCCTGTCTGGTAAAAACCAAAAACCAAAACAAAACAAAAAAACATTAGTCGCCTTGCCATGTAAGAGGATCCTCCCTGAACTAACTCCTGACTCCACAATGTAAAATTTGGGGTGCCTTCAGAGCAGATTTTGGCACTTCGTGCCCCCAGATTTGCATCTCTTTGTAGCTCCTCGGCCTCACCCAGCTGACCAACTAGTCTCAACCTGCATACCAGAAAGAACTATCAGGTGAGCCATCTGTTGACGAGAACACTCTATGCCAGGGCCTTGGCTCCCAGGGAGGGCTGGGACCTAACTACCATGTGAACAGGGCCCTTTCTCAGGCAGATGTTTCTGTTTAAGAAAATAAACCAGCCCAGTCCAGGGAGACTCTGAAAGCCACACCCCACTCCAGCCAATCTGAAGTAGCGCCCCACACTGGTGAGAAAAGAGGGACTGCCCTAGCTCCTCCCTAAATGAAGGGAACAGACTGTCTCCTGTGGCCTTGAAAACAATAAATGAGGCTTAGCCTGCTTGCACAAGGCTCTCAGGAGACAAAGCTTGGCAGTAATGGAATCTGTGGAGCTGTTGTAAGGCCAGTCATTTACATGTAACAGATAATCTGTTTTACAAATAATTTACCGTTTTGTCTTAAAAAAACCTAATAACTAGATATTATTATTGTTATTGTTTTGTTTCAAAAATGCAGTTACAATGATGACCAGAATGTACAAATGAAGTTGTTTTTAACCTTTCTACTGCAAAAGAAAAAATGAAACACAAACGTTTGCCAAAAAAAAGTTCAAGAAAGGATCTCACAGGCAATGCTGTAAAGAGCAAAAATACATTTCACTGAGTGAAAAAAAATGCTAGTTCCAGAAAGCCTAGATATTAATTTGCACCAAAAAATCCCAAGAGCTTGTTGGGACAGGGCTGGTCTGTAGAGAATCCAACCCAGCAGTTTCAGAGACACACCCACTTGGAGAGTAGTTGAAAAAAACACAGCATGTTGTTGAGTTACCCCAAAACAGATGCCTAGCAACCACAATGAACCAATCGGGGATTGGAATGACTCCAAACCAGGATTCTAAAGTCAAAATGGGTGGGGGTGGGAATGTGGAGGGCTGGGTTTCCCCACTACTGCCCTTAATACCTTACTGTAGTTCCTGGACACCACAGTGTACAAACCACGTTGGGATTTTAAACAAAAAATGCATGAATGATGGGGGAGTTCCCACTGTACCCCACCCTCCACCCCCTAAATCATCTTTAGTTAACAGAACCTTCTTGAAGGCTCATACTTTCCCCCTTCGTTTTATGGTTCTGATTAATGCTTGAGTCACAGGGCCAAGTCAAGCCCCGGGATTCCTGGAATTCTGCCCATGGCCTTGATCAGACTCAGCAAGAGGCCCCTGCAGCGCTTGCTCTAGCCTGTCCCTCTGGTTGTCTGATCTGAACCAATATTTGCTAGCTACAGATACTGGCAATTCTTGGTTTGGGAGCCCCTCCTGATGACTTGGAGTGGGTGGGCAGAGACCAGCATGGAAGAATGATGTCATTTGGCATGAGACACCTTCAGGGTT